AGAGAAGAGAGAAGAGAAGAGAAGAGAGAAGAGAAGAGAAGAGAAGAGAGAAGAGAAGAGAAGAGAGAAGAGAAGAGAGAAGAGAAGAGAAGAGAGAAGAGAAGAGAAGAGAAGAGAAGAGAAGAGAGAAGAGAAGAGAAGAGAGAAGCGAAGCGAAGCGAAGCGAAGAGCAGAGGAGAGGAGAGCAGAGGAGAGACGAGGTCTTTTTGGACCGGTACCAGATGGGGATTGTTTTGACATTAAAATGACTGACTGCTTGTCTCCTTAGTTGGGAAAGCCTCGTGGTGACCAGACAGGCTGCAGGGCATGGTGTTTCTGTGGGTCTGGCGCGCACTTCGCTGACCTGAATCTGTTGAGTTTGCGCAAGGAAGACTGCGCCACAGGTCTCATTCGCGAATAAAAAATCAACCAGGATATACCTCAACAACCTTTCCAATATTGAAATAGACATGAGCAGAATCACTTTGCTTCAAATGATCCCCACACGGCTCCTCGGGCTGTTCGCGTCGGGGCGTCACCAGGTCTCCAGTTGGCATCCAAAAGTGCTACCCTGACCACCTGCCCCGCAAAATTCCACACACAGGTGCTGAAATTTTTCTGGTTGTCGTCGCACGTTCGCGGTTGCATTTTTGTGGTTGCGCGTTGCGGTTGTGTTGCGGTCGTTCGCGGTCGCGCGGTGCGCGGTTATTTTTTGTTGTGGTTGTCGCGCGTTTGCGCTTGCGATTGCGATTTGTGCGTTTGTGGTTGCGCGTGTGTGTGTGTGTGTGTGTTTGTTTGTGATTGTGTTTACGGTTGCGTAGTCACAATTGCGCGTTCGTGGTTTGCGCTTGCGGCTGTGTGTTTGTGTTTGCGTTCGAGGACGCGCGTTTGCGATTGTGTTTCTGTGGTTGCGCTTGTGGTCGTGTTTGCGGTTGCGTGGTTGTGCGTTTGCGGTTGTTTTTGTTTGCGCTTGGGTTTGTGATTGCGTTTGTGGTTGAGTGTTTGTGTTTGCGTTCGTGGTTTGTCTGTTTGTGGTTGCACTTTGTGGTTGTGTATTGCATATTGCGTGTTTGGCGGTTTTTACGTTGTGTGGTTTGCGTCGCGCGTTGAGGCCCAGTAGCGCCCACTCCGATCTGGCGCTTGCGGTCAAGGTCTGGTAGCGCCCACTGTGATCTAGCGCTGGCGGTTGAGGTCCGGTAATTCAAGAAGGTGACCCATGGAGACACCAAAACATTTAGAAGAATTCCAAAGAATGGTTGCCGAGGCCATTTGAAGGGTGTCCACAGTGAACTCTGTATGCGGTATTGGCCCTGAGTAACTTCCATCAACAGCCGGGTCACTAGAGGTGGAGCGACTTTCCAGCGGGCGCCCTTCTAAGCCCTGCCTTCTTCCTACCATTCCTCGAGAGTTGGTGGGGCGGGAGAGCCCGATGTCCTCGCAAGAACTCCTCCACCTCCGCCAAGCCCAACTTGGAAGGGATCGATTCTTCAATCAAGTGATTCAAACATCACAGGAATCAAGAAGGTGAGCTTGTCTATTTCTAGTGGCTGCGGCGGCGTACATGTTGAGATTGCGCGAGGAGTCTGCACCTCCCCCCTCACTAGGTTTCTGTCGACCTTTATTACTTTTCAAACACGCTATGTTCGCTGGCAGGTGTAGGCAAGGCCTTTGCTTCAAGCGTTGCCCGAAGTGCAGCCATTCAGCCCGAAGAGTCATTTGAACTAGTTCAAGCCAACAACAAACACGTCCGTAGTCGAGGCAAAACCAAACACGCAACTTCCGCGTCTCGGCAGATAGTGACTTTGGCGGGCCTCAGCAGAAGGCCAAGGTCTTGTTGAAGCAAACTATCTGCAGGCTTTCTCTCTCCTCCAGGCATGGGTTTTAGAGATTCTTGGTATTGGTCTATCTGGGTTGTCTCTTCTCATAACTGAACGTTCTAGCAACTCTTGATACTTCTCCATTTCCTTCTCAACTTGGCCCGCAGCATCTTATAGTCCTCTTCCTAATAGGTTCCAATGTCTTTCATTGAGTTGCTGAAGTTTCACTTCCAGTCGACCACACGTTTGGCTTGAAGCTGATTGATAGCGCTGATTGATAGATAGTGCTCAATTTCCTGGTCTGAACGTCTGGTTCAATGGTCCTTCTGAAGGGGTTGCTCCACCCGTGGCTGCTTGCAACACCACTCGATAACCTTGATATTGTCCTTCCGTCACTGGCATATCTTCTAAGCTCCTTCTGGCTAAGAAGTACATCATAACTGATGACTGTATGAAGATACGGTGCTTCTTGCTCAACAAAGCCTCCATGGAGAATCAATCCAGGATGAATTCTCTTGGCATAGTTGTGCAGAATAGCTATTCTCTCTTCATTGTCTTCAAGCAATTTCAAATCTTCTAAATTTGAGTTCTGCTTCTTCAATAGCTGATCTCAAAGTGTTTGTAGAGCTTGAATAGTACAAAGATCACTGCTGCAAAACCAATGATATTGATCACAGTGATCACAATGATCCAAAAATTCCACTTGTCATTAGATTCTTTCAACTCTTCCAATCCAAGAACGCCCCTGTACGCATTGGCTGCAAGTCCTCAAATACCATTCTCACAATCATCTTGGCAATCTTGGTGACCTTTCCTGCAAAAGTTCTTTCTCCCTTCATACGCCTTTCTCTCACGCTCTCCTACTCTTGTTTGATCTTCACTGCGCCAACACCCAGTGGGGTTCATTAAGTATCTGATTCTTTGTCTTCCAAATGGCTTGGTATTGGTGTCTGCCATGTTATCTGTTGGCCCTTGCACCATATTGAAGTCCTTATTCTGTTCTGAACCCATAGCAACTTTCCACGCAAATGTCTCACTTTTCCAACTCCTCTCTTCATCACAAGCTGGCGCGCACTTGACGAATCTGTGAAGATGTAATGGTCTATCTTCGTCCCCAGAGCAAACTGAGCGAACGTAGATTCCATTCGATGATGCTGAAGAAACTATTCCACGCAACTCTGCTTCACATGAAGATAAGCTAATGACCTTCTGTGTCCTGCTGCTCTTAAACAATGGACAAATGTTCAATGCGTGGAATCCTCCTGGTCCCAAGAATTTCTTCAAGTGGTGAAATGACATAGCTGTTGAATTTGACATTCTTGAGGCCAATTCCCTCACTGTGAACGCTACATCATATCTCTCTTGACATAGGTCTAGGTAGATACCTGGTCCAACGCAATGCTTCTGAATGGGCTAATCTTCTCTAGTTCATGCAAGACTTCTGATTTGTCTTCCATTTGAGTTGAGTTGTCTGATGGTAGTTGCTGGAGTTTGATCTTCCCAATCTGCTCTTCGTAGGCTTTCAACATCTGCTGGATGTAGTTACCTGCTTGGGTCCATGGTCCTTCCTTCTCTAGTTCGCACTTTCTACTCAAGAAGTTGAACTCGTCACCAATCTTCTCAATCTTGCTCCCACTGGTGTCAAACCTGTCTTGAATCTTTGGAAATTGATGTAGATTGAACAAGCTGTGATAATCAAGTCATCCACATGGATCAAAATCATACTCAGTTCGTTTCTTCCTAGGCATGTACACTCAGCACTGAACTTGTAATTGGGTTCCTCGGCGAGGTACTCTGTGAAAAAGTCGAACCATGCTTGCGCTCCACCGCCCAGGCAAACACCAAGAATTCTTCACCTCTCGAGTTCACTTTCAATGGCTTTTTTGTGGAACTTGCAAAATTGCATCCTTCACATCAAGACATCCTGGCATCTGGGAAAATGCTCCTTCTCCCTCCCTAGCTTCTTCCTCCTCACTGACTCTCCGCAAGAATATTGGGGGTGGAAGCTTCAGTACATGTCCTGGAGTCGCTGGTGAGAAAATGTCATCTCTCCTTCCTTCAGCGAAAGCAAATTCTCTTGCAACTATATAGTCTTGATCTTCTCTTCCACCTCTTGGTTAGGGTTACATCTTCATGGTGGTAAGGCTTCTTTCTCCAGTCATACACATTACGTGTTGTCAGGAAACTAATTCCTTCTGTGCTTCTTCTACTTCATCAGCTACTCTGTCTACCCACTTTTCTGGATCTTCTTCCTTGTGACTTGTAGTCAAAGATGTTGGGCTTGTCTTCAACTGCTTTTTCACTGCCTCAGCCGTTGACGTTGCCAGCATACTCTGCGCTCTAGTTTGGAGGATTTCTTTGATCTCCTCCCCTACAGAGTGTCGCTCACAACAATTTATCACCAGTCCAGCTGTTTGGGTTCCCCAAAGGCCACAATCTATGGCTCGAAATCGCACCTGGGATCCCAGTGACCTAGGAGCTTTCTTCCTGGAGCTCAAAGGGGGTTACGGGTTACCCTCATCCTTGCTCCGCTACCATGCGAGTCTAATATTGATCCAAAAGGGGCTGTGTTCAGGTCAACTGTACAGTCTGTGGTGTCAATGATGCTGCATGTCTCTACTCTACCGTGGTTTGTACTGAAAATGCTGAACATATTTCTATCCTTGCAGGATGTATTTGCATGTGATCTTTGCAATTGCTGTAGAGCTTGTCTATCTCTTTCCAACGTCAATTGAACACTCAGAAGCTGCAATTGGGGTTGCGGAGGTTCTATTGTTTGAAAGCCACAGAGTGGAGATCAAGCGTTTCTGGTGGAGACAGTTTCATGCAACGCTGGAAACTGGCTTTTGTCTCAGGGCAACAGTGCAGCCTGGTGGGTTCACAAGGAGTTCAGACTTACATGCTTGAGATTGAGCCAAAGCCTCACTTCCTTCATTCGCAACAGGATTGAGCCATGTTTCGGAGTTGACCACCTGTGAGATCCTGTAGTTTCTGCAGGATCTAGAAAACTGCATTCTCCACAGACCCGTGTTCCAGAAGAAATTGGAACGGGAATATATAAAAAAGGAACTTTTGCAGGGGCCCGCAGGGTCAATTTGTCTCGATTCTCCTGGACTATCCACAGTCGTTAACTTTGTTTTGAAATGACTGTGAAAAATCCAGGCTGGTTTACAGTTCCCGCACGCTCCCCACCGGCCCACATGCCTGTGCTGTTCGCAGTATCGGAGGTAGTTGTCTCGGATGATTGAGTCCTAGCCAAGTCTGTGCTTCAAGGCAGCGCCAGCGCCAGTGCTACTGTTTGCGACTGAAACCAAAATACCCGTAAATACCGACAGTGGCCTCACCCGGAAATACCAATAAAACGAGGGATCCCTATTGTTTCCAGGTGGTTGAGAATTCTCATTCAACAACCAAACTTTCCACAGGTGTTCATTGTCTACTTTCTCACTATGGTGGAGACAGAACAGACCCGCATGTGTTCAGTGATGTTGTCATGTTTTCGCAGAGAACCAGGATACTCTAAAATGCTGTAGGTTGAAGCAAGCGCAGCCCCTTTGCAAAGCAAAGGCCCACACGCCTGACGCCATGACATAGCGCCATGCTCGTGATGGGGTTTTCATGCATGCCGGACACGCACACTGAGGGGCCACCTGCCCAGCCGATTGCAAGAAACCAATACAAATCCAGCAGAAGCAAAATCCTATCCCATCAACCCCATCACAAAAGAAACGTTTCCCTCAATGTTGAAGTATTGGAAATTCCCAGCCATAACATTCTATCAAAACCCGGAACCTTTCTAGAGCGAGGGACTGACGAGCTGTAGTCCCAACCTCGCCGCCACCAGATTTGCATCCGAAGAGGGGCCTTCCTGGACGGAAACCAGCGTACCCATTCAGATGTGGTACCGCATCTCAACTGGAAAAGTCGATAGATACAACTCTCTTCTCTCTTCTCCCTCTCTTCTCTATCTCTCTCTCTCTCTCTCTCTGGCACAATCGGCATCCGGCCGTCTCACTGCCCATTCTTCCGCTTCCTCAAAGCCTCACAGGAACGTCAATCGACCACAAGGCTGGTGGTAGTCAGCAAATGGAACAAGACTCAAGAAGCCTTGTTTTTTCCGCATCCCTATATTGCATTGCCTGCGTACTTTAAACCTGCAGCATTGTGTCCGTTCTACTTTTGCATGTTTGGCGACCTGCTACTTTCCCTTGTCACTCTCCAATGTTATTTGTCTCGGTCCTTCAAAACTTCCACAAACGGAAGACAGTCTTACAAGCATGAAGTCCACACTGCAACACTCGAATCAGGGCTTATATCCGCGAGCCGTAACAGTCATTTATATTTCATCTGTCGAAAGTACATCACATTCTTAGATTTCTAGTCAAGAAGCTCATGACTGCGTTGCTCTCATCGAAAGCGGCGGTGAGCACAGCTTGAGAGGTTCCGGCAGCGTATTCTTCCTGGTCCACAAAATGGCAACAAAAGACGGAAGTCTCACAATGGCTATACAGCGTGGGTCAAAACTCTAAGTTTCCTTGATTGACATTCATCTCCAAATGAAAACCCCTTCTGTCGAGAAAGTCAGGTCAAGCCAGGCCGCAGTGTACTGCAACTGCACGAAAGATTGCTACTATATATTTGTTAAAAGAAAGGTGATAGTCAGGGCACCCTGCCTCCACCAAAGGAACAGGAATCTCCAGAGTGGCAGCGGTCACTGTTGGTCCACCTCACACAAAGAAGAAGGTCTCAAACATGCTTAAATTTGCAAGAGATTGGTCCTCCCAATCGGAGAACGTTTCATGATTTTCAAGCCGATTCACTTCATGTTCCCAATCCGACCCTCGATAGATCAAGCACGCTTGCAGGGCATAGTAAGACCCATGCTGAGTGGTCATGACCATTGCAAAGGCCCGTGCTGCGTTTGCGAACCGCCGCACCAGCAGACGTCTGCCTTTCAAAAGCGCTGCAGACGTCTGTCTTTCAGACAGCGCAGCCACCGTTTCTTCCTTTTCGGACGGCTTGGACCCTCGAATCAGCTATATAGTTATTAGTTTGAGCCGTGAGTTTCTAGAGCAGGAGCTGAGATCAGTTTCTGACCATACTCATACTCACCTCAAGAATTCTCAGTCCAGGGGGCTTCCGCGCCTCACTGTGGCCTTACGACCCGGCGAAGTCATCGCGCCTGGCCAGTGCTAGAGGATCCAACCCAACGAGCAAACTAAAGGAGTTCCTTCCAAACCAGTCTTCCAGTCACCTCATCCATCGAAGGCCCTCCCCCCATAGGTTTGATTTCAAATCTCTCCGCCTGCACCAGTTGAAATGAGGGCGCCAGCACCGTGGCTGAAACTTCCAGATCTGCGCAGGAAATACAAGGGAGCGATGCATCCAAAGCATGTCTGACTCAACATTTTTGGTGATCAAGAATCGAAGCCACCAAATAAGGATGAAGGAACCGACCCCATCAGTCTCTTGCAGGACTGAAGCATCTGCACCAATTTCCCCACCACTCAAATTGACTTCAGCTAACTTCCAGCCGCCTTGGACGTACTTGGACCACCAGGGAAGCCGAAGGCTTCCGCTTAGGCGAGTGCTGGCGAGCACGGCCGGCTGAGCATGTTTGGAGCAGCCAACTAAGCGAGTTTGCATGGAAACAGCGGGAACCTTCATCTCAAACCATGTCCACCAAGGGCTCACCTATAAGGTCGGTTTTAAGAATACTGTACATGCAACGATTTGTCCTCCAAGGTGCAAGGTCTGAGAAACATGGTCCAAGTCATGCAAAACAGGCTTGGAAATTAGTTCACTTCCGACATTTTGCCACGGTCTCGATGCTTCACATGGCAAGTACGTCCAAGTCACAGCTGCGGTCACTCGCGGAGAGGCTGATGGTGGAGAAGCACCCCTGACACGAAAGTTCAGTGGAGAGGCACTCAGAGGTAACTGACTGATCTCTGAGGAAAGAAGGGTGGCCCAGTGTTGCAGCATCCAAGCGCGGAAAAAACGATACAAATGTTCAACAAACTGCCATGTTTGACCACGGAAATGCATTTAAAAAAAATGCGCTGGGTCTGAGCAAGGATACCCGAGCTGAATTCAGTAAATCTCAAAAGTACAACCAGGCAGGGTGCACCGTGCTTTCTCGGCTGCATTCGACGGTTCACGCTGCTGGAAAAGCCTGCAAAGGTAGAGCCACCTTTGCCAATGTCTGTCAGACTAGTGGACATGGAAAGCAAGGTACAAAACAAATACACAAGTCTCAGCTGCTGAGGAACGCATCCAAAGCGAAGCAAACGAAAAGCTATCCAAACCGATACACCTCAAAAAATCTACGAAAATTAGACCACGACTAAAACTTCCGAAGGCAGTGGCTTCAGGAAGGGCCCTCGGCCTGGTGCCAGTTCCATTCCGCAAGCGCGGATTCTGCCCACGGAGGGACTGCGACGGATCTTTACAGGCGAACAAGTAAAAGAGCACTGGTTTGTCTGTCTACCATGTTTGGTGTCGCTGGACGTTTCTAATGGATATATTTAAATCAGAAATATCCTCCAACTTGTTCAATCGGATCTTCTTTGGTCACCTTTGAGGCCGAGAGGACACCGTTGGACTGCAGTGTGGCCTTGGTCAAATCAAGCCACCGCAGTGACATGTGAGGAAGGGCAGCGTCGTCTTTCCAGGTGCAATGTTTCTTCCTTCAACGCTCCTTCACACTAACCGGACGGTGCTTTTAACTTTCAATGAATTTGGTCGATGGAAACAACGATGAGTTTGTTTGTTTGGCCGGGTCTCCGTATCCCAATACACGTCCTCCGCTCAACGATCAAGGCACACAAATCTTGGAACTTGGGAATCAATTGGAACATATTCTCAGTTGCGAGCTGCACCACTGGTCTGGTTTTTCTGCTCCGGGGACCGCGCTCCCTGGAAGTGGGCCAGAGGTGTCAAAGAACTTTGTTGCACATTGCTGATGAGTATGAATATCCGCCTGAGGATCCTCGACGTTCTCTTGCACACGACCTTATACCCCAATGTCACAAACTTGTATCATGATCGAGCATCCAGTTGCAATGTGGGACTTTAGTCTCACACAAATACCGTGGAGCCATGCTTTTGTTCCTTGTAGCGATATAATAATCAACCTACTAAAATATGTTTGTGGCCTGGTGATTCAGTTGTCCTGCAGCCATCTCATTAATTAGTCTTGATGTTAGAATCCAGGACATTTATGGAACCAACGAAGAACGTGCACCTCGCATTTCGCTGAAATACTTTGCATGAACCTAGAAGGTGCAACTGTACTTGGGCACCACAGTTGCCACATACATCGTCATCTCTTGCGGCATGAGGTCGATACTCTAGGCGGCGAAAACGTGATGAGTGTGCTGTTGCAAACATGTTGGAACGGTTGAAGCCACCTAGAGCTTGGTTTCAAAGCATATGTTGAACTTCTATGGCTTTTGAGTTGCAAGCTTACTTTAGAAGCCGTGGCTCCTCTGGCTACATTCATATGCGGATCTTGTAAAGTTCTTGGGTGACATTGTTTGCAATTGCCCTGGAAAAACCTTTGTTCAGAGCAGAAAAAGACCACTCACAATACTTTTAAGGAGCACAAATGAACTTGGAGAAGGACTGTGTGACAAGCAGGAGGCGACACTGCTCACTACTCACGCGGATTGAGCTCTGGTAGAGCCGGGTGGCAAATATGTAGCCAGTAAAACAGGTGGTGCTGCTTCTGTGAAAAGAAATTTTCACGGCATGATGTACCGTGGGTTATTTTATTCTGCATGGTTGTGTGACGCAAAGTTGGTGATTTGGTGTGGTGCTGCAACAAAAATGGTCACGCTATGATTCGCATGATCCTTGGCTTTGGCTCGAAGAAATATCATTGCACAAAGCTATTGCGTTTTATGGCTAGTCAGGTTTGATTCCATGTGTTCTTCTCAAGCTTTACTGACGTCACTTACTAAAACTCAGCACTTTGCGTGGTGAAGCTGTGTGTCCTGATACGTTTGCACACTCAGCTATTATGCGTTCCTTTTGCTATGAAGTACGACAACCAGAAATGCAAACCTGTTTCTTTTCGAACTAAAGGACGCGATGCGGGCCCATTGCCAAAGCAGCCCTGAGAAAGGAGAAGCGTCGGTGACTGATTCTGCATTGCCCGAACTACAAGGCCAAGTGGCAAGGGTAGTAAGAGGATGTTTCGAAGAGAGGGTTCAAAGGAATGAAAAGTTGCAGTCAGATTGCGAATACGTGGGTGTGCGCACATGGTTGTGAGAGGAACACAGGAGTTTTCCAGGAACAGTGTGGACAAGAACCGTTTCAGGGTGCCACTGGAGTGATGCCCACCGACTTGGTCCCCGGCTCCGGGGCGTATCAGAGCCTGTGAAGCCGGACCGAGATCGACCGTGCCGGGCGCGGTCGGAGGGCCTCGGGTTGAAGGTCCGGTGTCCGGTGTCCACGGGACCAGAAGGTCAAGGCTCCTGGATATTAACACGAGGACCTTGTCTGCACCCTACCAGCAAGTTCAAGTGCATGTTGTTCGTCAGCCTAAGCAATCCTCATCTTCGCTCAACAGCTGCTGGCGTGCTGCTCCTGCCTTGTCGCGGCCTCACCTTGCCACTGACCTGAGAACAAACAGCAGGTTTCACCGAAATGTGGGCACCCCTCACAAACAAGTCGGCCTGGTCCAGGCGATGTTGGGCGCAGAACTGCGCAGCGCTCTTGAGTTCAGAGCCTGAGCTCAGCATTCAGGCAGGCAGGAAGGACGACTGCACGACCCTACACTCACCACACTAAAGCGGCGGAAGAGAAAGAGTCGCTCGTCCAAGTCTGCAAGTTTCTATATATATATATATATGGATGTATATTATATGTACATGTACATGTATATACGTCAGGCCCAAGTGTTCATCACTAAGGCCCTTACGGACGCTGCGTAGTGTGGCCTGTCTCCAAGAGCTAAAAAGTGGGCGGTTCCACTCTTCGGCTCGCAACTGAACCATGTTTCGGGCCTCGCGGCCAGAGCTCCCACCGTTGGCTGGAGGCTCCTGCACACAGAGCCACGCACGAAGCGCGGCGCGTAAGGGTTGGAGATGACAAAGCAGCATGACCTTGACAAAGAGAATAGAATCACAAGAAGCATCAAGAGGTTTGGTCGCTGAATAGACAAATATACGATTCCAAGGCTTTCACAGGGGACCAGGTGGTCACTACAGATCGAAAAATAAATAAATATATAAATAACTCATGAATCTTGGCAAGAACATAGGTCTTGTTCAAGTGCTCTGGACGATGTGTTGATTCGGATGAATCACGAGTGAGCATCACGACTGAGCGTCTGCCCGGAGCCTGCGTGCGGCGCAAAGATGTCATCCTTCGAAGCGGCTGTGGAGCAAAAGGATGGACAGTTGCTTCAAGGGAAGAAAAGTGGAATCAAAAGTCCAACAAAACGTGGAATCAAGACTAATCAAGGTGTAAACAAATTCAAGTTGCTGCAGTTTTACATGCTCCTTGAAAGTGCTCGACTCACGAACTTTGTGGTGAGTGGCTGCTAGGCCGCTAGGCAACTCTAGGCATTCCTAGGCCCTGGCCGCCGTCGCTATGGTCTGGCAAAGTAAAGTCTGATCTCTTTCTTCAATCCCGAAAAGCAGTACATTTGATCATGGTTCGAGTGAGATGGGAGCCCCTTATCAAACTTGTAAGCCAAAATCAAAAGGCACAAAAGTCATTACCCCATAAAACCAACGTCCTTGCTTTGCATGTCTGAACTCAAATCAATGGTTCTCCGATGATGTTCCCTTGTCAGACTGGGTAACCACTGATGTGTTTTGCCTCAAAAACCAGCAGAGCCTGTCATGTTTCTTCGGGTCTTCGGGTCCCACGAAACGCATGGCAGCCAATCTCTGAGGCCGCGCACGTCAATGAACGGACATGCCTAAGAACGAAAGAGCGCACGTAGATTGGCCCCTAGTAGCGTCCTTGTTCCTAGTAGTAAGGCCAGGAGCCCCTAGTAGCATCCTGGCTCCTAGTAACGATGCGAGCCCCTAGTAGCTTCTTTGGCCCCAAACAATGTTGTTTTGAAGCGTCTTGGTGCAAATCCTTTCTCAGATCTTCCAAAGAAGCAGTTCAGCCAACTCGCCCCCGTCACACGTGTCGAGACTCAACGTCGTCCCGAGACCCAACGTCACGGCCACCGGTGCCGAGGAGATGCCCTGCCGGTCCAAGCGTCGATGCTTTGGAAATGGAATCGACAAAGCAACCATATCTATAGTTTTCTCGTGTTGTGTGTGTAACCCTTGGAATCATAAGGATCCTTTCGGCTTGTTTTCGGTTTGGCTTTTGTCATTTCATTTTACAGCAGGGGGGCTGGTTG